AAAAGAAGTCCATCAGAGAGCCAGCAGGCCAGTACTATGCACTGATTGTCAGTGGACATGTTTTTCAGAGTAGTGGACAACTGAGGCCATCCCTTATTTTCTTCCTTTGTTTTCTGAGGAAAAAGGAAAGGTTCAATGTTGGAGCAGAAATGGTCATATTCAGCAAGTCATGGTCAAGCAGCTGACCCAAAAGCCAGTAGAAGCCTGTCCATTTATAGTATCCAGCCTTAGAGTGACTCTTCCATAACAGAATGTCTAATAGCCAGTGTTTGTGTGCACTAGTCTTAAGCCATTCTGTGCCTCATGCCAATGACTTCCCAGTATACGTACAACAAAACCCAGATTCCTATGGTGTCTACAAGGTCCTTTGCACACTGCACCCCACTGACCCAACCTAACCATTTTCTTACCTTCTCCCGAGTGGCCTGGACAGGTTTCAACCATGGTGATTTATTTAACCCTTTGGCCACCTCCATTAGACTCTTGGCTTCTCCTTTTATCCCTCTTTCTTCACAAGGCTGGGCACTCAAGGAATCTAAGCAGTCCTCCTTTCTCAGCACCTCTCTCACCCTGATTCACTTTTGACCCCTAACCAGATTGGAAATTTATCTTACTTAATGATAAAACAATGTAATCCAGTCCTTTGTTGAATTGCTCCTACATGCCAGACATTATTTGAAAGGCTTTTCTCAATAGCAGCTCGGGTAGACCTTATCATAGTCTATTACACCCATTTCAGACCAAGGAAACCAGGACCCAGATTAAGCACCATGCCAAGGGTTGTGAAGTGAGAAATCACCCTTGGAATTAGTTTCTTGGCTCTTGTCTGTCCCATATTGGGCTCTTTTAAGAACCAAGTAACTGGCAAGGTCTCAGCACTTGCCAGTTGCTTGGTTCTCCAGGAACCGACCTGACCCCAACTTTGCTAGGTTTCTCATTTTTTCTTCCTGGACCCAAGCCTTCCTGTGCAATCTTGTGTACGAGTTTTACATTTCCAGAATCTCTTGTGTGAACTGGGTTGAGTTCTAGAAGGAAGATGCTAGCACAATTCTCAGGAAATAACTTAATTGGCTCTGAGTCCTGGGTCCTTTTGGTTCCCTGATAAGTTTATGAGGTCTCTGAATTTTGGACTAGAAAGGGGTGAGGGAGGGAGTGAAGAGGCATGCCAAGCTTTGAAACATTTTTGAGAATAAGAGTTTATGATTCAACCAGTCCAATATTCTCAAGATCAGGGACCAGAGTAATAGAACAGCAGAGAAGGCATTTGCCTTGCACCGGCTGACCCAGGTTCGATCCTCGGTATCTCATATGGTGTCCCTCCCCCCCGCCTCCCCCCCCCCCCCCCCCCCGCCCCAAGCACTGCCAGGAATAACCCAATAAGAAAAAAAAAATGATCAGTGATCATCCCCAATGTTAGCTCCTGGGGTGATGCTCAGGGATGAGCTGGATTAGAGCTTCTAGGGGAAATATAGGGTTATGTCTGTGCCCACACTCTTGGCTTCACCTAGGAGCTGGAGTCCTTGAAACCAACACCTATGACTCAGTTTCTGTCTGGAACCCCCACGGGACAGTCGGGGAGTGCCTGGTGCATGGATCCTGGATCTTCCCAATGCAGACCCCCCCCCCCACTCCTGGTCTCCCAAATTCCTCTGGGTACAAGCCACTGTGGCAAGCCCTCCCCCATACCCCCCCCCTTCCACCAGGCCGCTGTTTGCGTCACTTTCTTCCCAGAGCTTCACGCCCATTCAGTCATGGGTGGGGATGGGGGGCTCCAAGAGATCTGAGGCTCTCTGCCCTCTGGGGGGTTCCAGGCTGGGGGAGGCGGAGCAAGGAGTGAGGCTGGTGGGTGCCCATGCCTAGGACTTCCCCTCTGCTCTGCAGGGCTGTGTTGGCGTCTGTTCCCTCAGCTACAAGGCAGGAAAGGGGCTACTGGAAAACTTAAAGGTCTTGAAGACGGAAAACTGACGATGTCTTCTTTGCTTCCAGAGTTGTGAGTGAGGACACGGAACACCCAGAAAAACACCCAGTCTGCACCCATGCACAGGATCCCTGATGGGGAGGACACGGTGTGGACAGGGAGGTGGATGTGGACACGATGTGGGCACACAGAAGGAAGTCTTAGCTCAGCTTGGGATGCAAAAGAAGGCTTCTTGGAGCAGGTGGCATCTTGAAAGCGATCTAAGGCACCAGAAGAATTGATGAAAAGAGAGGGGAAAGCCATGGCGGGGAAGAAAGGAAGGGCATCCGCGGGCTTTGCTGGGGCAGGGGAGAAGTAGCTGTGAAGCCTTTTCTCCTGCACCGAATCAGGGCAGGTTTGCCTGTCGAAGCGCAGGGCGGGCGCCCATCTTCCATGTCAGCCACGCTGCGGTCTCGCCACGTCCCACGGACATTTCCAGCCTGATGAATGACCTGGTGGCCTGAGGTCGCAGCTTCAGGCTGTGGCTGAGAAAGAGGCATTTAGGACACCTCTGTCCTGGGCCCTTTTCCAGCGGAAACCCAGACTGCGGGTTCTTCCTTCCCAGGGGCCTCTATCTGGACGTCTGGTTTAGCGGGAAGGCCGAGCTCGGAGAGACAGCGCAGCGCTGGAGCTAGAGCAATGGCCAGACCTGGAGTCCCGGGAAACTCCCGTCCAGGAGCAGGATCTGAGGATTCCTGAAAACCCGCGGCCTGCGGGCAGGGTGTGCCTGGCTGTGCCTCTTGCCCGGGGGAGCGGCCTGAAGGCAAGTTGGGAGCGCGCAGCCCTGGACCCGCTGAGCCAAGGGCGCGGAAAGCTGCGGGCGCCCAGAGGACTGACCAGCGCCCTGCCTCACTGACCCAGGCGACTCTGGGACTCGAAAGGTCAGGTAGCACCTGCCCACTCCGTCGTTGCTACCGCCGGTACTCTCTACTCCCGACGCTCAGATTTCGAACCCGGGCCGAGCGCAACAAGTTCCGGAGAGCAGCGCGGATAGAGAGTGGAGACTGCAAGGTGAGGAACCGACCGGGGAATTCGCGCTGACCCTCGTCTCAACCCCAGGGGGTCTGCCTGGAGACTGGGAGCACGCCGCCACTGTGTCCAATCTTCTTCCTGGACAGCTGCACGAACCCAAATGTCTGTGTGCAGTTTGGAATTTCCAGAGGGGCCCGGACCAAGAGTTTGGCGGGTCCAGGCGGGAAGGAGGCGTTTCCCCCAATTCCTTTCCCAACCACCAAGGTTGTCCGCTGGCCAGTGGCCCCTGGCCCTCGGCCTTCTGGCGGTCCTTCAGGAATGAAACTCCTGAGAAGGCTTGGGCCAAGAGCAGGGTGGTCAGCGGGCGCGGAGCTGAGAAGGAAGGTGAAACCCTGGCGCGATCCCATGGCCAAGGCGGTGCCCTGGCTCAAGGCGTAGACTCAGACAAACCGCATTTTAATCCCGCGCCGACACGAATCAGGTTTCAGGGTGCTATCCAGGCGGAGCACTTTCCAAAGGCTCCCAGACTCAATAGCGACAAGTTTGGCTAAGCATCATCGGAGCCTCAGCTAAGGTTCCAACGGGAGGTGAAACAAAAAATAGTGGGCTTCACATTACATACAGCCTGCGCCTCCACTTCCCGCTGAAGTCATTTTTAGCAAATCAATTAACAGCCCTCTGCCTCGGTTTCCCAATCTGTAAAATGGGCGTCCTGTTCTGGAGTGCACCTAAAGATGAGAAATGCCCCCAGCTCTGTCTAATCGGAGGAAGAAGAAGCAGAACTCCAAATCTGATCGCTGCGTGCTCGAGTCGCCCCTTTTCCCTGCCTCCTGGTTCTTTACCTAACCCCCTTCCCCACCCCCAGCCCCGCCTCGCCGGTGCGCCTTTCTGGTGGGTTCTCCCGGGAGAGGCTAGCGCAAGAAGCCAATAAGCCTGGAACATGCGCGGGTCCTGCCGGGCTTGGGACAATGGTTTCCATTTAATAAATATTCCCCCCAAGGGCATTTCACAGCGGGCAGGCAATTATTCAACGGAAACAGGCGCGCAGGTTGGTTCCGCGGGTTACTCCGTCCTCTTTACCCGGGGAATGCTCATCAGACGCCTGAAACTAGTCTCACCTTTGCGCTGGGTGGGAAGAGGCGCCTGGGGACAAGCCGACCCAGGAGGCCGATACCAGATGACTATTCTGCTCTAGGGCCGTCGCAGAAGAGGCAACGTGCGCCCCCACCCCACCCCATCCCCGCCACTCCCACCCGGAGCGCGCGGTCCCCCAGCCTCCCGTTTGGACGGATGTGGAAGGAGAATCGGAGTTTTTCAAACACTCAAAAACAACCTCACAAATAGGGAGTCCGGGCTGCAAGCGCCCCCCTCGTCCCCTCCACCCGAGTGCAGAGCGGTCCTGGTGCTCCTCCCGGCTCCCCGGGGCGGGGCTGGAAACCTGGACTCGGCGGACACGAGGCCTTTCCCGCATCCGTCGGCCGCCCGCGATTCCGCCAGCCCCCGCCGCACCCGGGCAAGGGGGAGACGCACGCGCGGGCTTCCTGGGGCATCGCCTCCCGAGGACCACCGAGGGCGCGGAGACGAAAGTTTATTTCGCCGTGAACCGCGAGTTGGAAAGATCCCGTTTCTCGTCCAAGGGCCTCTGCCCAGGGGCAAAGTGCTCTCCTTCCTGGCCTTTCGCCACGAGGCATCCTACTGACCACCCCGCGCTCTCGGCTCGCTCCCCGGGGCTGTCGCCTCCCGGGTCTTTGTACTCGAAGCCCCGGTGCTCCTTCGCACCGCCGGGAAAGGAAACGGGCCCCGAGGAGTTAGTTGCCTTTATGGGCCGTGCCGGAAACCAGGTGGAACCAAGTCCCCAGTCCCGAGCCGGCCGCTCGGCGCTCTCCCCGCCCCCACCGGGCGCGCTCCCTCCCGGGTGCTCCGGCGCGTGGGCAGGTGCGCCCCACGCCTCCTCTGCAGCTGATTGGCGCCCAGGTTGGGGAGTCGCCGCCCCGCGCTTATGTCAGCTTGCGTGCCGTCCGGGCCCACCTCGCCTTTGAACTTCGCCGCTCTTGGCTGGCGTTCACCAACCTCCCGCATTCTCAGCCAGGTGCTGTGCTCGGCCGGGCCGCTCCGGGAAAGCCGCGGGAGGGGCGGGGGCAGCCCAGGCCCGAGACACCGCGGAGAAGAGAACCCGAGAAGGCGAAGGCGGAGAGGGGGGGGGGAGGAGGAGCTTCCTGCCCTCGCCCGAAAATTACCTGGCCACTTAATCCCAGGGACTCAGGGATTTGGCCCCCTGCCTCCTGCAGCGCCCGCGGCCCCCCGACCGGCCGCCCTCTCCTCCCCCGTCCCCTGCTGTCCCCACTCTCTCTCTCTCTCTCCCGGGCCAGCCTGGGTGCCGGGACTGGCATGATCAGCTGAACTTTGTGGGGTGAGCGCTTCTCTCTGGCTTCCCCTCCGCGGCGCCCAGGCGAGGGGAACGCAGAGCCCGGGCTCAGGACCCACAGCCCGGCGGATCGACGACCGCGCCCCTGCTCGTCTGCAGGGCCCCTGCACCGCCGCCCCCTCGCGCCCAGCCTCCGGGACCATGTCCAAACCTTCCGACCACATCAAGCGTCCCATGAACGCCTTCATGGTGTGGTCCCGAGGCCAGCGGCGCAAGATGGCCCAGGAGAACCCCAAGATGCACAACTCCGAGATCAGCAAACGCCTGGGTGCCGAGTGGAAGCTTCTGTCCGAGGCGGAGAAGCGACCGTACATCGACGAAGCCAAAAGGCTCCGCGCCCAGCACATGAAGGAGCACCCTGACTACAAGTACCGGCCGCGGCGTAAGCCCAAGAACCTGCTTAAGAAGGACAGGTATGTCTTCCCCCTGCCCTACCTGGGCGACACGGACCCGCTCAAGGCGGCCGGCCTGCCCGTGGGGGCCTCCGACGGCCTCCTGAGCGCGCCCGAGAAAGCCCGGGCCTTCTTGCCGCCCGCCTCGGCGCCTTACTCCCTGCTGGACCCCGCGCAGTTTAGCTCGAGTGCCATCCAGAAGATGGGCGAAGTGCCCCACACCTTGGCCACCAGCGCGCTGCCCTACGCGTCCACCCTGGGCTACCAGAACGGCGCCTTCGGCAGCCTCAGCTGCCCCAGCCAGCACACGCACACGCACCCGTCCCCCACCAACCCGGGCTACGTGGTGCCCTGTAACTGTACCGCCTGGTCGGCCTCCACCTTGCAGCCCCCGGTCGCCTACATCCTCTTCCCCGGCATGACCAAGACTGGCATAGACCCTTATTCGTCAGCCCACGCCACGGCCATGTAACCCCCAGCCCGGCCAGCCAGACCTGGAGGGCGACCAGGATGCGAGATCTGCACCCGGCCCTGTGCTCCTCGCCCCAGCCTGCGGACGCCTGGGGGTCAGACCTGCCAGCCACTGTCTACCCCACCCCAGACTCTGCCTCTTCCAGGTGCCTGGGAGGGGTGTCCTCCGGGACCGGGGCGCGGATGGGTGCCAGAAACTTGCAAACCATATGACAGCTCTACAGCTGCCCCTGCCCCTGCCGTTCCCAAACAAATCTCGACTGTATCCCCTTTGGACAAAAAAGAAAAAGAAAAAAAAGTAGGCAGTTTTGCTTTATATTTATGTTCCCCTTCTAACTCCTCTGATGGGCTTTGGACTCCGGAACGCCCATATCCTGGCATTATATCTAGAGTATGCTCTTTTAGTTTTTCCTCTTGCATTCTGAAGAAAAGAGTTAGCTGTGTCTCTGTGTTTTGCCCTCAGACACAGCTAGGCACCATTTGCTCTTTGTGGTGTGGGGGGGAAAGGCTTAAAGTTCAAAACTACAGAAAGGAAAGCATTTCGATTTAACCCATGCTATCATAGTGTTTGCTTCTTTCAAGGTGAAACAAAAGGACCCACATGGTTATTTACTTTGTATAAAGCAGTGCTCCTAGAGTCCTAAGTTTACTTTTAGACAGAATACTGGGTTATGAAGTCAGGAAGTAGAAAGTGAACGAAAATGAAAAGAATCGAAACATCCTAAATGGTCATGAATGTTTTGAAGATGTCTTGGAAATGTATCTAGAAGGAATTCATCTCCTTATTCTGTTCATTTGTTGAACAAAGATGTTTTGAATAAAGACAATCTGTCATCTGAGAAGTAACCTTTGATGTGCATGAAATCTGAAGGCAGGGCCAGGTACCTGGCTAAGAAACGTAGAGGGAGTCCAGCACCAGGATTTGGGGGCTGGCTACATGGGCCCAGCCTGGAGGCCTAGGGTCCTGATGCAAGGGCCCAGATCTTGGGGTTTGTCCCGATAGCCCTTCATGTCTGCTGGCCTTCAGAGGCTCTAAACAAAGACCCCATCCTTGCTTGGCATGCCATTCCTTCTTCACAGAGTGGTTAAAAACCACTTCAAGGAGCGTATAAACTAAGACAAACGCTGGTCCAGACCTCTAAGAAAATCCAGGTGCATTTTCTTTTTTTAACCTAAACTCCAAGGGAGTAGAGAGAAGCTCTGAGTCTACTAGGAACCAGTTGCGCCACTAATCACCAGGGGGCCATGGTGTGTGTGTGTGTGTGTGTGTGTGTGTGTGTGTGTGTGTGTGTGTTGAAGGCAAGGATGGGGGATGGCCCACTGGAATAATCAAGTTCCCTTAAAGATATTTGGAAATGCTCCTCTAGGTCTTCTGCGGAGTAGGAACTCCACGTGTGAGTGTGTGTGTGTGTGTGTGTGTGTGTGTTGTGTGCATGTGTGTTTAAAGCAGATGTCTAAAAAACTTAGAAAATTGTGTCGTAAATCCAGCTCTGAGCTGCAGGAGACTTTTCATTAAGACTCTTGAGAGAAGAAGAAAAAGACGCAAAGGTATCATGCCTTGGGCAAAAAGTTTTTAAAAATCATAAAATATAAATAACTGGTAGCCCTTAGTGTTTGACGAACATGGAAAATGAGTTCTTTTCTTCCTCTACTGGGTGGATATTTGGTTGAAGCTTGCTGGTTTTCTTGGGGAGAGAGGATTTGCTCTGACTTTCTAGCACAACTCCTTGGAACTTGTTCTGAAAAATAAAGCATCCTCCCCTGACCACTTTTTGCCCCCACCCCACCCCAGTTGTACTGCAATTGTGGGTTACTCGGTGGGAATGAAAGAGGCAGCCTGGCAGCCAGTGGACTTTGCCAGGCTGCAGAGGGACCCGGGGGCTAGCCTCTGCCATTTCCAAAGAGTCAGGGACTGGAGGTGCCCAGAAACGTTGTCAACAGACACCAAAGCCCAAACCCACGGATTAGCATATTGTCCTCAAAACAATTAGAAGTGTTTGAGGTGCTATTTGGAGCCTATTCATCTGAGCCCCTTTGTCAAGGGGGGAATTTTCATTATTAAAAGAAAAGAAAGTTAGCAGTTGTCCATCTGGCTGCGCTGAATAGCAAAGTGATCCGTGTTGTATATGCTTTTCTCATTAAGAGCTCTTTTGAGACCGATGTTAGAATTAAATGGTATAACACAATTAACATACACGGGCGCTGAATAGGAGGGGACGCCTATAAATAATAGATAGATAAATAAATGAGCGATCAGGAGAAGGTAAACAAAGGCGGGCTGGAGGGCGTGTGGGGGAGGCCGGGCGGGCTGCGCCACGCTTACTTAGCATCACAAAACGCTCTTACAAAGCGAGACAATTAGGAAGTGACTTGCCTCTGGTGGCCGTCCGGTCTGGGGGCTCGGGGCGCTCAGGGAAGGCCCTCCGCCCGCCCCCTAGAAAGCCCAGGAGGCCTGGGGCCGTGGCGTCCGGGTATCGCAGTCTGATGTAACCCCAACTGACAGTCCTGTCAGCCGCCCTGATGGCCCTCATAGCTCAGTGTCCCGTAACATCTCCAAAGATGACGCTTACAGGGGTCTGCGTGCCGCCCCATAGCGCCCCGCGCGCTAGCGCCCCGCCGGGACACAGGCTCGCTGTCCAGGGGTTACCCGGTGAGCGTGCAGTGCCCAAATAGGGCATCCAACCAGCCGGGAGGCGGGACAGACCCTGCAGAGGCTTTGGGGGGGGCGCTCCTGGGGCGCAGGCTGTGCGCCTTCCCCCAGTCGGATTCCTGATTTCACCTGGTCTTGAGGGATTTCGAAGGCGCCCCGGGAAACTTGGGGTGCGTTGTTGCAGGAAGGCGCCCCGGTGCCACGGTGACTGGGTGGGCAGAAAGAGACCTCGCAGGCCCGGGGAGAGAGGGTCGCCCGGCTCGCGTCTGGGGACCGGGGCCACTGGCCTCGCTGGCCCCTTTTTCTGTTCATTATACACCCGGGCTCCTTCCAGCCCCGTCCGCTTTGTCCCGCTGCCTGCGTGCGTCCAGGAGGCTTGGCTCCAGCCTCGGCCCCCCACAAAGGCCTGATCCAGCAGAGCACCCCGCGCCTCGCGGGCCGCAGAGCCTCCGCCGGGGTGCGCGGCCGCGACTCGCCCCAACAAACAGCCCAAATCCTCCCCGTCACGCGGCTGACAGCGGCCGATTACTGACTTTGAAGTCTGGTGCAGACAAAAAGCAATCCCCTGGGGGTTATGGGGGGGGGGGGGGGGGGGGTAAGCCGTCCCTGTCAAACCTGTTTGCTCACAACTGTCTTTTTCTTTCAAGAAAATCATTAAAGCAAACCTGTAGGGAGAGGAGCGCCCCGCCCGCCGGAGCCCAGAGCCGCCGCTTCTCCGGAGCGCGCCCCGCGTAGCGCCCAGCTGCCCCGAGGTGGCCTCGAACCCGAGGTGCCTCCTTGGCGTCGTGGGGAGAACGCGAACTCGGGCAGCACGCCCGGCTCGCGGCACCGGGCGGGACGCCCCTCGGGCAGCCCCTTGGCGGTGCTGAGCGCACGCCCCGCACCCAGTCCCGACTTCCCATACTCGCCGCAGGGGTGCCTAGTGGGACCGGGTGCGATTGTTCCCTGCACCTCCCCACCAACGATACCCCTAATTCACGGCGCGCTAAAAACCCATGGGGGGGGGGTTCTAGGACAGCGCAGGGGTGACCCACCCGCTGCCTGATGGCTGCGGGCACCGGGCGCGGTGTTGGTTATAAACGGATTTTCGGTCTTAAACCTCACCGGCCATCTAGTCCCCCGGGCACTGTGGTCAAATCTGGGTGCCACCGGCGCCGCCTGGCCTTTCCTCCGCGGTTTTTCCTCGCATCCGGGTCCGACTTAGATTGTCAGGCAGTGACCGAGTTTTCCCGTTAAAATACTCGACTTCCTTTGAACCGCTAACTTGAGCGAGTCACTCTGAGGTGTGCCTGGTGGGCATATTATCATTTTAAAAGAGCCAGTTGAAAACCTCTCGAGGCCTGTAGTCACCTGGAGCAACGGAGACGCTTCGGGCCACCCAGAGCAGCGTCTCCCGAGCTCAGACACATCTGGAGAGATGTGAGCGTGCCAGGACCCCCCGGGCTCCTCGGCCCAGGGTACCGCCAGGACTCTCATTTCCTTGGGCTCCTCCCAGTTCAGGCCTTGTCACCATTGTTCCAGCGGACAATGCGCTTCAAGTCATTTGAATTTGACTATCACGTAATTAACAAGATTCGCACTAAGAACTCGCATCTCTATTTGCTAAGTGTGAGTGCTCCTGAGTGGAGTAGTGGGAAAGAGCCACGGAGAGGGAGCCAGGGGATGGGGGTACGGGACAAGCCGGTTCTCCTGTCGCTGGTCCCCGCAGAGGGGCGCCGCAGCCTCCTAGTTACTGCCCCTCCCTTGGCCTGGGGGACCCTCGCTGCACCCCCAGAGTGGGTTTTCGTTCTCGGTGCGACGGGAAGTGCCCTTGTCCTGCAACCAGAAGTGCTGTAGAGTAATTAAGGAAAGAAGTAGCTGGTGCTGGTGGTGGAGAGTGGGGTGCGTGGGTGGAAGCCCGGACGTCGCTAATGCAGTCTCCGGTACCCCCACCCACCCCAGGTTCTGCGCGTCCGGGACTTGATAGTTTCAGCAGCAAGTAGGCGGAAAGCGGCAACGAGAGAGCCGCGACATCCACTCCAGGCCCAGCCCCAGGCCCTGCGTCCCGCCGAGCTGACCCCGGGGCAGGGGCTGGGAGTCGCGTGCCCAGGAAACGGGAAGGGCCGGGCTTCGGAATCTCCGTCTGCCTCCCCGTGTTCTCTCTCCTGCCCTTCCGAGTCCGTGCGCTGCGCTAAACGTCTTCTCGCAAAGGATCAAGGGCACCAAGAGTTTGGTCCGAGCTGGAGAAAGGAGCCGGTACCCAATCTGGACAGGGACCCACCGGGCCGGCAGATTTCCTCTCTGCTGCCAGGTGGAAGCGTTTCTGATACTCGGGCGGCCAGTGACCATTCCCAAACTTCTCCACTTTAGGACGTGGAGGAGAAGCCGGTCAAACGCAGTTCGTACCCTGGAGGCCAAAAGAAAAAAAAAAGAAGACGCAGAAGAAGGGATTTTAGTCAAATTGCTGCCGGGTAGGGTGGTCCCGAACTGGGAACTGCAAAGTCACAAACTCAGACGCGAAAGCCAGCACGGGTCCCGCCACACCAAAGCGCTCAGAAAGTAGGGGGAGGGGGGACGCGGAAGGAGGGCGCTGTCAGTAGACCCCCTACTGTTCCGGAGCTCAGCCTCTCCTGGGCCGCTCAGGACTGGGCCGCACCTCTGAGCCCTGAGCCCTTTCGGGCTTTAACGCGCCCAGAAGAACCGGGGAAGTGGGTGCCAGGCGCGCGCGGGGTTCCCTAAGGCCCGGAGTCCCGCAAAGAGCTAAGCAGCTCCCGACTTCCAGTCGCCCGGTCAACCCCCAGCGGACTCGGAACGCCCCGCCCCGGGACCCCGGGAGGAGGGAGAGGGAGAGGGAGGGAGCCCCGGCCGAAGCGCACGTCTCTGGTCCCCGTTCGCCCGGCACCCCCCGTGGCGGGGCGAGTCAATGGGATTTGCACAGTCGAGGTGTAACAGCATTACTGCATTAATTACCATTTCCATTTCACGTCCAGATTGTTTACTTATCTGCGGGAAACATATGTCGAGAGAAGTTCACATTCCGGATTCTGCTCCGCTGCCCAAGGTGCAATTCCGGGGAGGCGGCGAGGGGGAGGGGAGGGCTTCAGATTTTTTATTACACCCTCTAGCCTTATCTGCCGCTGTAAATTATGAGGATCCTCCATTGAGCGGCATATGGAGATTATATACTT